AAAAGGAAATATTTAACAAAAGTTTTAATAGTATTTAGGGAGGTCCCTGCGGTGGAAAACAGGAGCGAGGTAGGGGCCTGGGTCCGCAGGCTTTCTTTGAAAGGGGGCCCGGTGAGGGCGAGGGTGCGGCCCCCGAGGCAGCGCTGATCCCCAGGCGACCGGAGGACTTGCTGGAGGCCCTGGTGTGGGGCGACTCGCGCGCCGAGTGGGGAGCTGTCCGTCGTCCGGTGCTGATCTGAGCGGCAGGAGCTGTTCCTCCTTGGGGTGCTGATCAGGCTGGCGCAGGCACCGGTCGCTGCTCGGAGCCAGACCTGGACATTCGCGCCGCGCAGACGGAACAGGCGGCGCCGCGGATAGGCGCCAGCCCTGAGGCTGTGTTCCTCGGGCTCCGCGGGCGGCGGGCAAGAAGAGTGAAGGTTGCTTCCGGCGTCAGACTAGGTCAGGGTCAGCCGGTGGTGGAGTCTGGGGAGGGTCTGCCAGGGTTAGGAGGGGGTAGAGCTGGGGAGACTCTGAAGGGATACATACTGTGGCTGAAAACTGGCTGTGAGGCCGGAATTTCAACAGAGGGCAATGGAATATCCCTTCCCTCCTGGATGGAAATTATGTGCACTATTTGTTTATGTTTGTTACTTCTAGTGGTTAAACTTTGAGCTGCTAACCACAAGGCCAGCAGTTCGAAACTGCCAGCTGCTCTGCGGTGGTGGTTTCTACTCTTATAAAGCGTTACAGCCACAGAAACCCACAGAGGCAGTTCTACCCTGTCCCATAGGGTCGATATGAGACGGCATCAACTCAATGGCAGTGAGTTTGGTGGGGTTTTTGTTTTTTGGAAGTTATCTATAAGGAGCCTGATGGCATGCTGGTTACGCTTTGGGCTGAGAACCACAAGGTCAGCAGTTGGGAACCACCAGCGTCTCCAAGGGAGAAAGGCGAGGCATTCTACTCTCTCAAAGGGTGGCAGTCTCAGAAACGCACAGGGCCAGTTCTACCCTGTCCCACACTATGAATGGGAATCCACCTGATGGCAGTGAGGGTTTTTTTGTTGTTGTTTTTTTTGGGGTGTTGTCTCTGAGGTCAGGATGAGTGTTGGCAGCTGAAACCTTTCTCTGAGTAAGAAGGACAGCAGTCGTTCAAGTTCAGGGAGAAGGCTCATTGCCCGGGGGAGGTTGTTCTTGGGGACAGCACTTTCCCCAGGTCAGCTTTTCCTGCCACTGGCTGGGCTTCCACGCTCCCCTTGCAGTGCCTGGACACAGTCGCTGCTTAGAAATCCGTACGGGGTGTGTGTGTGTGTGTATGGCTAAATCAAT